GGATGAATAATTTGATTCAAGACCTTAGGCATCAACTCCAAGATGAAAAGAAGACCATTCAGTGCTTAGGAAAGGAAAATAAAGATCTAACTTTAATGTTCCAAAAATCCAAAATGGACACAAAAGTGTTTTGCCAAAAGGTGGAAGAACAATTTCAAGGGTCTCCAGTGGACAAGGACCTGCCCTTGAGTGAATTAGGAGAAGATATTAGGTATATTGCAGCCTGGATATGCACTTAACAAGTATGCATTTATATGTGTGCATACATTTGTAGGTATTAAAGTCTCATCATTTCTAATTTTCCTTAACAAAAATTGTTGTTCATATTTGGGGTCAGCTTAAGGAGAGGTCATTGCAATAAAGTTGATAAATCTTAAACAATAGCTTCATGGTTTGGGTAGCACTTGATGCATTCTTACCCTACAAAAGTTTAAAAGCCACCAACATTTCGGGGAGGTGTCTTGCTTGTTAAATGTCTATGTTACTCGGACTCGGGTATGAGAGTCCTGCAGACATGGGAACTCTTGTGCCAAATGAAGAGTTGGACATGGATACAGCAGGGTGAAGTGAAGAGTCCGAGCAACATAGTTAAATGATAATGCACTAGTTGGTAAGAACTTAAATGAGGCTGGAGGACTTATAAATTGGGTGACATTGTAGGTCATCAATGTCTGCTTTAGTAGATAGTAATTTGTTTTGTGATATCATTGCAAGGTGAATTGATGCTTGCCAAATTTAGATTGCTGGATCTGGTAAAGAATGTGTCTTAATTACTTGAAACCATCACCAGATGCCTCTGAATAGTTGGTCAGAATTGAATTGTGGAAGTCACCTCTTTATCAGCTTATTATGGAATTGACAATGTGAAAAAATTTTGAAATGAAAGTTGCTTTTACTTATTCTCATTTCTTCTTCTTCCCCCCCCCCTTCCTATCCCCCAATAAAATTCTTCATGGTCAAATTCTGGAAGTTTCAAACTGCTACTAGGGACAGGAAGCTCTCTGGAATACATGTGGCGGGAATTTTCTTTTCCTACCCAATTTCCTGATAACTGGCTGGAATTATAAGACAATAACGATACTTATTCATGAATGACATGCCTTTTTCTGGATGTTGATCCTAATTGAACTTCCACATTCTGTATGCTCAACTAGGTCACTTATTTTTAAGTTTTTAGCTTTCTAGTTGAATACCAACTCTTCATCATCTTATTATAATTTATTTGTCTTCTCTCTTTTGGTTTTTTGAACTTAATATGTTATATCTGCTGTATTTGTTTTGAAGAACTTGTGGAGAAATTTTGGGACCACTCCCTTCGAAACTTGTAGTCTTAGGAGATTCAGATGCAGAACTGAGGGAAAAGATGTACAAAATGTCACATCAAGTGCATCAATATGAACTTCTTGTAGAACGGCTTAAGGTATGTTTACACTTCCATGAGGACATGATTTGTCATATTAGTGAACTTGATAGCAATCAAGTCAACCACAGTATGATAATTAGAAGTGCAAGTGGTCATGCATTTTGACAGACAATATCTGAGATGTTTATTTTGATGGTGCTAGGAAGAATTAAAAGAGGAAAAGCTAAAAGCAAAAGAAGAAGCCGAGGACTTGGCACAGGAAATGGCCGAATTAAGGTATCAAATAACAGGATTACTCGAGGATGAGTGCAAAAGACGCGCATGTGTTGAACAAATATCATTGCGAAGAATAGCTGAGTTGGAGGCTGAGGTATATGTGTTTGAAATGTCATGCTTTTATTCCTCTTTTTCCCCCTGTTTTTCTTTTTTAACTTTGTAGCTCTTGATCCTCATTGATCTTGTTTTGATGTAGCTTGAAAAAGAAAGGTCCAAAGGCCTTGATGATGATGAGCACAAGAAGTCTATCATTGTTTTTAGGCATATGAGTGCAGCATGATAGAGATAACTACCGTGTCCAATGGGTTTGAGGTTAGTTATCTGATTTTTTTTTATTTTCATTTTATATTCTTCTCAAGCATAAGAACATCTACCTTCATCGTCTGTTTATTCTTTGTAGTCCTATGTCTGGAGAAAAAATTCATTGACCAAGGAAAATTTTGTTTTTGCTAAAAATGTGGTCTAAAATAACTTGATAGTGTAGTGGAGTCCAGTTATTTTAACTCGTTGCGTCATCCCCATGGTTACCAAGCCTTTTATGGCAAGAGACAAACCATGTTTCTGCATTCAATTGTCTCCTGGTAGTAAGCTTGAGGTAATAGTGAGGTGACGAAGCTTCTTTGTATGACTTATCTCTCTAATATAACCATTTGTCATGCGATCTACATAGACAACCATATTATTGAAAGTTTCTTCACAGATTTTGATGCATGGGACGGCATTTGGAACCATTCATCCTTACAAGCTTCAAAATATTGTTTGATTTGTAGTCGGCTTCAAGTGATAAAGCACCAGCGAGAAATCTTTGGGTTTTCATTTTCCTACCGCTGTTGTTTCTCTATGGCTTGAAGCTGTCTTTATTTAACATAACAGGTTGGCTTTCCATTTAATAGCTTTTCTAATAGCTTAATTTTGCTAAGATACAGTATACATGTAGAGCATTGGAACATTGAGTAGTTAGCTGCTACTATTTTTCCAGATTCTTGGTGCTACACGCTCTGAAGAACATGCAAGGTGTATCAGAGTTCTCTATATGCTGGATGATGCTTTTGCTAGCTTCTTGTCTGGTTCTGTGAAGGCTTTTCCAGGTTGTGGTGATGCGATTAATCTTTTGCAAATTCCAGTTCCTGGTTCTCTCTCTCTCTCTCTCTCTTTTCCATAAATTGCTGCTGAAAAGAACAAATAATGCAGCATTTTACCAGTTGTGAGATAGAGGAGTGAACAATCTTTTAAGTTATAATCTACAAATGTAAATTATGTATGTATTTATTGTATTTGCTTTAGGGGAAAACTTTATTCAAGGCACTCGTGAGAGTAGATCCCTGACATGGCAATTAGAATGCAATTACATCATAATAATAATAATAATAATAATAATAATAATCTATACTATATATAAAGGAACAGAAAGGGGTTTGGGGTAAACGTTTATTGGTACTTTATGAAATTTAATTTTACTCTTATAAAAACAACTTTTATTTTAACTATCTTTCAACTATTTAAGCATATGTTTTTAACATAATTATCCCCAAGCAATATAACTATTAATGTGGAATTTTTTATGAAAAAAATTTAAGAGATAAAGTGCTTCAGCAATAAAATTTTTTACATAAAATACTCGATCGTGTATTTTTGTATTGTGCACATGTTGGGAGTGCATTTATCACTAATAATAATAATAATTGAAATGCCGTCGTGCGGGTATTAATGCACTTGTGTGTTAAATGTCGGATTCTGTTGGCCTCCTTGACAAGCGAGAAAGGGGGCGGTGTACGCCCAACAAATATCATCCTATACTTTAGTCCAATGTAGGGCTGCAAACGAGTCGAGTCGAGTCGAGCTTTGAGCTAATCGAGCCGAGCCTCGATTAAATTTTACCAAGCTCGAGCTCGAGCTCGACGAGCTGGCAAATTTCGAGCTCGAGCTCGAAAAAAAATAAAAAATAAATATTTTATTTTAAAAAAAATAAATAAAATAATATTTTTTCTTAATAAATAATAAAATATTAAGGATATATACGTAATTTTACTATAAAAATAAAAAATAAAAAAAATATATATAATATACGTAATTTTATTATTAAATAAAAATAAAAATAAAAAAAAATATATATATACCCAAGCTCGCGAGCCGGCTCGCGAGCTAACGAGCTTAATATTCTGAGCTCGAGCTCGAGTTCGAATTTGACTCGAACCGGCTCGAGCTCGACTCGAGCTCAATTAATAACGAGCTTGACTCGAGCCGCTCGCGAGCGGCTCGATTCGTTTGCAGCCCTAGTCCAATGCAAAAGGAAAGAAAAGCAAATTATTGAAATCATCCAATCAAGAAGCAAACGGCTACATCTTTAAGCATAATGACATAGTGAATGCCCAATGTCTTGCACTTGTGAAATAAAGAATATGAACTACCAAAACTAATAGGATGGAAATCGGGTAAATTGTAAGCTAAGCTATTATGCTAAGAAAAAATGATGATTGAGAAATTGTAGTTTTTTATTTTGGGTATAAAACATAAGTCAATATTATTAATAAATAAGATGAAAATTGTTCAATACAATTTGCTTGATAAAAAAAGTTGAACTAATGACAGAAGATACATAGAATAAGTCATATGTCACAGATATCTGATTTCAAAAATCATTAGATTTAACATATAGATTTGGAAAAACTCTTAAATCTGAAAAATAAAAAACGTGAATATATGTATGAAATAGGAAAACAAAATGTATCACAATGAGAATTTTTTAAATAAACATTTTAAATAAGTAAGGCCAAGACATGGCTTGAGTCCTTGCTTACATATATGTATTAGATTAGATTGAAGTGATCAACAAATCCAGAACCTCTCTACTGGTTTAAATTGGGCTATGTCAGTTTGGTATTTTTTTTTGGTAAGTTTTTAAATGAATGGTTCAAATCATACCGAACTGATGATGCCGATTTGTACCACTAAGAACCGTTATATAAAGACACTTACTGTAACACCTCGCGTTCAATGGATTGGCAAAATAGTCTTTTGAATTGAAACCACAAATTCAAAATGATTAGGGAAAATCGCTAATTTAGTTCTCAAACTATTTTACTAAAGCCGATTTGGTCCCTAAAAGTTTTATCGCACCAATTAAGTTCCTTAACTAAAATACTTGTGCCAATTGAGGACTTATACGGCGTCGCCACCCAAAACTCATGTATCTGTACAGAAAACAACGGCCAGGCAGGGGCCTTTTTGGAAGTTCGCATCCTAATTTCTACGGAAAGCAAGACAGAGCTCATTTTGCATCCGAATTGGGGGAAACCTGTGAAATTAGGGATTTTCCAAGACAGAATATAGCTGCTAGCATCAGTGGTAATAAATAGTTCATCTACGTTCTACCATTTTGATGCATTTTTCCAGTGAAAATATCCAATCCAATTTGAAGCTTCCCTACTTTAGTTAGACCTATCAGCAGAGAAGTAGATGTGGAAGCAGAAGGAGTAAGACCAAATTTTGTCATTATGTTATACACTTCAAAAGCTTTCTCATGCAGTCCTGCTCTGCTGTAAGCACAAATGAGCGAATTGATGGCAATTATGCTAACAGGTATGCCCTTCTCAAGCATAGTCTTCAGTAAGTGCAAAGCCTCATCTAACCTTCCTGCCCAACACAATCCTGAAATGGACATGTCAGATATTGAACAATCAGGAATCAAAGCCATCATAGATAATTCCCTTAAGAACCTGTTGCCATCATCTTCCCTCCCATATTTGTAGTTTCCTGCAACCAAAATGTTAAAAGTTATACCGCAAAGTTTCCTGCAACTCTCATATTCCGCATTTCCTCATAGAGCATATTAGCCTCACCAATTTCTCTTGCCTTTACATGGCCATCCATCAAAGCATTGTATGTCACAGTGCCTGGTGAAACACCCATTTCTTGCATTTCTTCAAATATTTTCCTTGCTTCTACAATGTTGCCCTCCTTGCAGAGTGCATTAATAATTGTAACAAATGTGGCAGTGCTTGGTTCACAACCGCTTTCCGCCATAAAATGCGCCCAATTCAGAGCATGAGATGTCCAGCCTCTCACACAATATGCACTTATTAGCAAATTATGTGCAATAACATCAGGTTCACAACCATACTTCCTCATCAAAAACAACAAGCTTTCTCCTGTTCTAACACACCCTTTTCTACAAAAGCCAAGAATCATCACATTATACACAAAAATATTCGGGCAAGGTCCCCTTTGGATCATATCTCTAAATAACTTCCATACACTACCATAATCACCAACTCTAATTAGCAGCGCAAAGAAAATGCTAACAGCTGATAAACTTGGTCTAATTCTGACCTCCCTCATTCTATCCCAGATTTTCAATGCTTGGGAACCCATATCTGCATTCACAAACGCCCTCATCAAAGAATCAAGAATCGAGAAATCTGACTCATACTTGCTATGCTCTCTCCACATAAACTCTACCAACTCATTACTCCTACATTCACCAATTCTACTACTTACACAAGAGAGAACATCCTGTGCCATCAACCTCAACCCCTCAGCAGCCAAGACATGTGCGACAATACAACACGACTGGACTATGAATTCCGAAGCATCACAGAAGACCAACTTGAAAAATGCAAATGAGACTTCGCGGTTTTCAAATAATTTCAAGATTTCTACAAGCAAATAGGGGCAAACCCCCAATTTCTTCCGCTATTTGCATGCAAAATGGGTTTCTGTCTTGGAAAACCCCTAATTTCACGGTTTCCCCCAATTCGGACGCAAAATGGGCTCTGTCTTGCTTTCCGTAGAAATTAGGATGCGAACTTCCAAAAAGGCCCTTGCCTGGCCATTGTTTTCTGTACAGATACATGAGTTTTGGGTGGCGACGCCGTATAAGTCCTCAATTGGCACAAGCATTTTAGTTAAGGAACTTAATTGGTGCGATAAAACTTTTAGGGACCAAATCGGCTTTAGTAAAATAGTTTGAGGACTAAATTGGTGATTTTCCCAAATGATTAATCTAAATTTATTAGTAACACAACAGGTTGGACATTATATGCCAATGCTTTTCCTTTTCCTTGGTCGATTTTTCACTTTTAAAACTTTGCGTTATCGCAAAATCCAACTATCCACTCAATTGTGCGCGATGGCCGCTGTCCAATGTGGCATTTAGTCTCGCATCTATTGGGTTGGGATAATAACCTTTTGAGTTGAAATCACAGGTTCAAAATGGATATAATCTTTTGAGGTGAAATCACAAATTCAAAATGAAAAATTATTAGTGATCCGATGGATTCTGAAATTATATACCAATGCTATGACGCAAAATCCAACTATCCACTCAGTTGTGTGTGATGGCCGCCGTCCAATGTGGTGCTTAATCCCGCATCCAACGGATTGGGATAATAACCTTTTGAACTGAAATCACGGGTTTAAAATAAAAAAATTATTAGTAATCTGATGATCCCAACATTATATACCAATGCTTTTTCATTACATGACATTAAAATTATGCAAGATTTGTTCTGATATCATTTGTGATATGCGCATCCAACGAACTGGCCTAATAATCTTTTAAGTTGAAACTACGGAATCAAAATAGTCAACCCAAAATCACTATTTGGTCCGATCGGGTTGGATGTTATATACCAATGATTTTTCTTTTTCTTTTTCTTGGTAGATGTTGGATATTTCAGCTTCAACCGCACATGCCCCTTGTCTATGACCAACGCGAGACCTTTTCTTTTTCTATTTTCCCTGAGCGGGTCTATCCTTTCATAATTATTATTTTTTTTTTTTTTTTGCTCGAAGTGGAGGGTTACAAGCTAGTATGAAAAGCTCATTTTCCTGAAAGACCTTAACGGGCCAAGGTAGGGGTGGCAATTCGGGTCCAATCAGGTTGGCGGGTCGGGCCAAGATTCGACCTGTCAAAAATCTGTTGACCCGAACCCGATCCGTCAACCCGTGACGGGTCAGTATATCTGACACGAACCCGAAAATTTTGGGTTGGCGGGTCGATCCAAAATGACCCGAAAATTAATTTTAATTTATTAATTTATCACTATAAATTCTAATAAAATCAATTTCTCACAAAATTAATTACATCATCAAGTAATAAAAATTTAAATAAATAATTTCAAATCAAATCCAAAATAAATTAAACACCGTAAAAGTGTTTTATCCCAAACCAAATATAAAATAAATTAAAACGAATTATATTATTTGTCCAAATATAATAATTTTAACTTCACACAAGGTAAATAAATTCATTTAGGATTAAGTAATTAATGCCTTTGAAAAAAAAGAATGATTTAGTTTAGCTAGATAAAATAATTTTTATGTTTATTAAATTATTTTTAATTTGTAAACGAGTCATATCAGGTCACCACGGGTTGACCCGAAATCGACCTGTTTTCTTTTCGGGTTCATCGGGTTCGACCCGATTCTGACCCGAACCCCCAAAACTTCAACCCAAACCCATTAATTTCGTGTTAGGTTCATGTCATATTTTCGGGTCGTGTCAGAAATTGTCTCCCCTAGGCCAAGGTTCAAGTTCTTGAAGTTAGCTTTAGGAAACTATATGCTGACAGAAGGTTCTAGCTTTATTGACCATCATTCTTACCATATGGATAAGTAGTATTGTGGTAAATAGCCTGTTATTACCATGCCAAAGGCTTCCTATTTCTTCCTGCCCATCAAAATATCTCCATCAAAAATTGCAGCACCATTTCTATTGTGCCCATCAAAATATGATTCAACAAATTATCCCTAGAAAAAATTGCAGCAGCATTTCCATTGTACCCATCAAAGGCCTGTAAATTGGCAAAAATAATGAGGTCATAGTATGTGATACAAACTTATCAGCTTCATCGAGCACGTTATCCAAACACAATCAACTACTTCCTGAAATTGAGATTACTAGCCAATTGATATTATTGTCATTTTTCATCAATTGAGAACCTCAACCATGTCCAAGTTCCACTACAGGAGATCATCACACAGAGCCCAGAAAACAGGGCTTAAAATCAGAAAGCAAACACCTAAGCATGTTGCAGACTCAAGTGCAAAATCAGGATATTGGTCTGCTCTTTAACCACTACAAGTTTATATTCAGATAAAAGGTTCCTTAGAGATATTACTCACCGCAAAAAACAGAGAAGGTTGTTGAAGGATTGCACAAAACTCTCTAGCAATCTGTCTTTGTTGAAACATATAAGTGATTTTTCTCAAGTTATACCAAAAGAAAAAGGGCAAATTACACTATACCATCCTGAGGTCTAGTATTATTTTACATATTCCCCCTATGGTTTCAAATGTTATATATAACCCTCTCATGATTTGGATTAAAGTATCAAAATGACGGAATTTGTAATCCATAATAGAGTCAACTAAAATATCAAAAATACCCCTATGTAAAGTTGAAAATTATTTATTAACCATCCACATGGGAGTTATGTATATATATTGAAAATCATAAGGGGATTATATGATAAATTACTAAATCATAAGGGGGTTATATAGTAAAATATAAAATCATATGGAATTAGAATGTCATACATATTATGTTTATGTATTTTGATCGCTTCATCCATTTTAATTTTTAAACAAGGATAATTTTGATATTTTTATAGGTTCTGTTATGGATGATTATTTCCGTCACTTTGAAATTTTAATCCAAACTATAATGGGGCTATATACAGCTTTTAAAACTATAGGGGGATTATGTAATAATTAGCTATACCATAGGAGGATAAAGTGTTATTTACCAAAAGAATTGTTAGTACATACAACCGTTATAAGTTGTAACATCATTCTTCGATTAAAGAGTAAATCTTATATACACTGACAGTGTATATACTATTATTGCTTGATTCATGACATGTGTGTAAAAGTTGAATTTTAAAATCAAATTTTACATAGTTATCATTCATCCAACACTGTCAGTGTAAGAAAGATTAATCCTTAATTAAAAGAGACACACATCATTCTTTAAAGGAACACATTTGTAAAACTAATTACAACTACAAACTTTCTCTACCTCTCCAACTCCCCGTACACTTGAGTCTTTTCTCTCTTATTTTTCCCTAACCAATCCTTTCTTTTCTTCTTCTTTTTCTCTCTTTGTTTTTTTCTATCCTAAGCTCCCAAAACTGGCCGTTAGTCTTTTCCTTTCCACTCGTTAAGAACTTCAATTTCTGAATTCCAATCCCATTCTTCCGTGATTATGATTATACGGCTCGGCTCAAAATCAGAATCTTCAACTTGAGAATTTGGGAGCTCAACTAATATGCAACATCCCATCGATCAGTCAATGCTCTCACAATCTCCTAATTCTCAAGAGCTTTCTATTGACACAGTGGCAAATATATTACAGTCACATCTGTTGGTCAGACACCACAGTAGATACAAATATCTCTGGCTGACTCAAAAAAAAAAAAAAAAAGATCAAAGCGAAAATTGAGCAGAAATATTCAAGGTGCAATTCACTTCAAATCCAGTAGCCGTTTTCATTCGATGGCATCCTTGGTTGTCAAGACAATGAGAGCAAAGCAAAGAACCTTGCCAAGGCTTTGACCTTTAAGTTAGTGGAGAATATGGAACTGATATGCCTTCAGTTGGGGAATATCAGTCTGGCAAGCAGCACATATGAAGGTAGCAGTTGTTGTTTGACCATTCGAGATTTGCAGTCACCATTTCTCAATCTGAAAAAATACAGGAAAGAACTTGACAAGCTCTGATGCAACGGATAATTTCTCTGTTTCGACAGTTCAATTCAACTGATAATTTCACGATGATTACAAGTAAAAATCAAGAGAACTTATGTAGGTGAATTCTGTAGACTCCACACAGTTATGAACTATAATCAATACTAACAAGGAAAAAGAATCATCTAGTTTTTTTCTTAACCATATATCGATAAAGGGTAAACTTATCAATTCAAGAATCAAGTTCACTGACACCTCTAGAGGTCTAAAACTAGTAAATGACAAAAACGTGGTCTTTACATCTACATAGTGTTAGCGTCTTCTTTACTTGCCTTTATAGGCATGAAGGGGGAGCTTCTGCATTTTCATCTCTAAACTTTTATTTGGGATTAAAAATGAAACTGAGTGGAATTTTAGCAGAAACAGGAGTCCAGTTCTTCTTTCGGTGAAATTGCTAATATTACAAAATCATGAGACTATTCCAGATGGATATATTGTTGAAGAATCTTCTGATGCTCCTGCTGGAGAAGACAAGAAAGGTTTGGGAGGGATTTCCAAGACCTGGAAGTTCCCCTTCTAACATCTCCACAACCTTACTTATTGATGGCCTGCTCAAGGGATTAGTTTGTATGCACCACAGGCTCACTATTATCATTTTCCTTGCAAGTTCGTTCTGCTCTTCATTCCAAATTCCATACAGTCCAAGCTCTTAGTCACCTCGATCTAGTCTTGAGTAACTCCAAAGAGGAAAGTATATTTCACTACTATGATCTACTCCAACATCGATATTCTTTCTTTCTCCAACCATCTCAAAAACCATCATCCCATAGCTATAGACATCAGACTTACGAGATACCCCTCCAATGTTTTTACAAAAAATTTCATTAGCAATATATCCAACTGTCCCTTGTGCACCTAGTATTGAGACAATGATCTCTTTTTGAAGGTAAAGTTTAGCAAGGCCAAAATCAGAGATTTTGGGACAGAAGTTTTTATCTACGAGGATGTTACAAGGCATTATGTCAAAATGTAGTGCTCTAGTATTGCAACCACGGTGCAAAATCCAATCCTCGAGCTATGCCTACTGCAATTTTGTACAATGTTTGCCATCCATGTTGACGGTTTGTCAAGGATTTTTCCACTATAGGCGAACTTCTCAAGGGATCCATTAGGAATGAATCCTTGTATGAGAGCCTTTTTGCTACCCTGGAA